TCCAACTCCCGGGGCAGGCCACTGGGTATCTGGGTACCAGTCAGGGAGGCTTTGGAGTTGAGGCAAGGGGAGTTCTGAAAGGGCCTGGCAGAAGCAGAGAAGATGACCCGGGTTAAGGACAGTAACAGAGGTGCGCGTTGTGCTTTACAGCCGCAGAGTGTGTTTAGGTGTTACCTCATTTAATCCTTACTTCATCCCTATGTGGTGGGTATTGGGTCCCTCTCCATTTTATGGAAGGCCTGAGAGGTTCAATAATAATGATTGGTAAGGTTTACTGAGTGCTTGTCTTAGGCTAGTTTCTCTAGAGAAGCAAAACCAGTAAAGCATATAAATATATATGTATAGAGATTTATATCAAGGAAACAGCTCACGTGATTGTAGAGGCTGGAACGTCCCAAGTCCATGGATCAGGATAGAGGCTATTCCTGATTAACATAGCTGCAAGGGCTGGCAAATCCAAGATGGGCAGGTCAGAGAACAAGGCTCTTGCTCACAGGCTCTGAAGATTGACAAATCCCAAGAGCAAGACTGCAAGGCTTCTCCTGGTTCACGTAGCTGCAAGGGCTGGCGAACTGAAGATCAGCAGGTCAGAGAGCAAGATTCTTGCTCACAGGCTGTGAAGATCGACGAATCCCAAGATTGGCAGGTAAGCTGCTAGCTCAAGTTCCAAGAACCGGAGGTCAGACAAACAGGAGCCAGCTGGAGGATCCAGAGCAGGCAAAAGCCAGAACATCCACTTATATTTGGATGCAGGCTACATGCCCAAGGAAACTCCCTTTCAACTGATTGGCTACTCATAGCAGATCCCATCATGGGGGTGATCACATATAAACACTGAGAATCACGGCCTGGCCAAGTTGATACACAATCTTAACCATCATAATGCTTATCACCCTTACTGGACTAAGTGCTTTAGAGTATTTTCTCATTGACTGCTAACAACAACCTTATGAAGTAAATAGAGTTATTGGCCTTATATCACAAATTAAGAAAACTGAAGCACGGAGAGGTTAAGTAAACTACCTCAGGTCACACAGCTAATAAATGGTAGAGTCAGGAATTTCAAGACCTCCAGCTGTGTCTTCTTCCCAATGTGGTTCTTAGAAAAGCAGGGCCAAGGAAACTTTTAGGGTGATAAATATGTTCATCATCTCAATTGTGGTTGATTCACAGGTACATAAATACATTAAAACTTATGAGACTGTACTCTTTGAATATGTGCGGTTTATTGTATGTCAGTTATACCTCAATAAAGCTGTGGGGGGAGAAAAAGAAGAAAAACATTTCCTACTGCACGTTCCTTCAGGAATTCAAGGGCCCCAGTGAGAGGCCACCTGACCATCCTCCTGCCTGGGGAGAGTCTGGCAGACTCAGTGGACTGGTTTCAGGTGGGTTTTTGGTCAGCTTCTCACATTCCACCACCCAGCAGGCATAGACTGGCACAAAGCTGGCACAGGATGGGTCATATGAATCTCTTGAACGAATTACCACTGAGCCCCCAGTGAAAGTCCCTCATTTCCCTTCCCTTCAGAGCCTTTTTCTCTGCTAGTCAGTCACTCTGCAGTGTAATAGATCGCTTTTATATGACCTTTCTCACCATAGTCTAATAACTCCCACCAAATGACTGGGTGGGAATATGCAAATGAGGTGCTTGTGGCCAACCAAAGGGATTGACTAGCTTGCTAGTACAGATAAGGTACATAGTACCCTTGGGTTGGGACCATGTAAATGAGATGCATGGAACCCTCATGAGAGGATTGGTCAGTTTTGCCATCCCGCTAGGCCTAAAATGAGGCATCCCAGAGGCGGAAAGGGGGCAACCTCACTACCACCAAGAAAGAAGAGCTAGGAGTGGAGTGTGTCCTTTGGACCTGGGATCCCTACACTAAGAAACTCCTAGACCCAGGAGACAGAGCTGCAACCTGAGACAGCGAGAAGCAGCAGCAGAGAAACAGTGGCAGCACAGGCAACAGAGCCAGGAGACTGGCAGGAGATAGCATCGTGGGTTTCCTGGCCTACAGAGCAAGAGCGCTGAGCACCTTTGGGCCTTCAGGCAGGAGGCTTGCTGGTGGAGTGGGGTGCCTCTGGGCACTTTTTAGTGGAGATAAATAGTTTTGTAACACCTGCCTGAGCAGGGCAGAGGTAGGGCCTATGGCCAGGGTGAGGCCTGCCTGTGGGCATGGCCCAGAAGCTGTCCTGATCTGAAGAACTGAAGAACTGTATCCTTAGTTGTTCCTGATCCAGTGAAATGTAACCTGTTACTTCCCTAATAAACCCCATAACTGTGAGTATTGTCTGTGAGTTCTGTGTGGCCATTGCAATGAATTATCGAACCCAGCAGAGAAGTAGAGAGTGCTGTGCGAGGGATAGCTGGTTTCAGAATTGGTGAAAAGGTTGGAGGGTAGAGGTATGTCTGACCTCCACCTCATAGCAGTTAGCCTTGTGCTATTGATGCTGATAATGATTCTCCTCCCTGCTGTGAAGTTAGACAAGGAGGGTTGATGCTGCCACCATGCCATTTTTTCACCTTCCTGCAGCAAAAGTGGTCAAGTAGAGCCTATTCTCTCTGTGATGGAGGTAGAAGGTAAAGACATAGATCCTGCTTTGAAAATCCCACAGTCAGGTTGGGGTGGCAAGAGGCAGAGGTGTCAGCTGTACAGACAGCAAATGGTTTACAGGGGCAGGAAGGATCAGTGAGGGTCTAAGGAGTCAGAGAAGATTTCCTGGACACAGTGGTGGCTCCTGAAAGATGGGAGAGATTGAGATGAGGAGATGGGAGGGTGCTTCTGGTGGGAGGAACAGAAAGAACAGAGATCTTGCCAGACGAGAGGGTGACTTGACGATCTGGGGGAGGCCAAGCTGGATAGACTGGGAATGGCCAGATTATGCAAAGGCCCTTGGAGGCTGGGACGGGAGAGTGGTGAGGCCTTGGCATGCTGGGCAGTGGGAGCCATTGTGGGTCATGGGACAAGGACAGGTGCTATGGAATTGCTGCTACTGCTTTGGACTGGGGCTGAAGGCGACTCTCCAGGGCATAACCCTGGTGGGAAACAAGTTTTGGCTGTGTGTGTGCTCGTACATATGTATGTAGATGAGGCTGGGGGTAGGCTTGGGATGGGAGCCCTAGGAATCTCTGAAGATCAGCCCCTGATGGTGCATTTTAGTCTTCTAGGGCTACACACAAGTACAAAGTACCACAAACTGGGTGGCTTAAAACAACAGTAATCTATTCTTTCACAATTCTGGAAGCTAGAAGTCTGAACTCAAGGTTTCTGCAGGGCCATGCTGCCTCTGAATGCTCTAGGGAAGAATCTTTCCTTGCCTCTCTCTGGCTTCTGGTGGTTGCCAGCAATCCTTAGTTCTTCTTGGCTTGTAGCCATGGCACCCTAATTTCTGCCTTCTTCATGTGGCTATCTTCCCTCTGCATGTGTCTGTCTCTATGTCTAGATTTTCTTCTTCTTTTAAGGACACCAGTCATTGGATTAGGGCCCACTGTAATCCAGCATGACCTCATCTTAACTTGGTTACATCTGCAAAGACTCGAATTCCAAATAAGGTCACATTCACAGGTACCGGGCTTAGGACTTATCTTTTTAGGGGACTCAATTCAACCTGTAGCAGGGTGCTTGAGGGAAGGAAGCCCCCATAGCTTCCCTCTAGGGGTCAGAAAAGCACACATGGGAATTATTTTTCTGAAAAAAGACCAACAGCTTCAAGTGTAAAAAGAAAAAAAGAGAGAGACATACAGACTTAATGCCCTACTGCTTAAAGTGTGTTTATGGACCATCACCCGGGAATCTGTTAGAAATCCCCTGACTGACTGAGTCAGAACCTGCATTTAAACAAAGTCCCTAGGTGGCCCATAAGCACATTACAGTTTGAGATGTGCCGTTCTAATAGTCTGACTTTTATTTCCTTTCCCACCCATGGTCAGTCTAGCCTGTGGGTCTTTGTGCACAGGCCACCTGGTTGGGAGCCAGGCACCCACGCTGTCCTTTGTTCTCCTCTTTTCATGTAGCATGTTATCCTGTTTCTCTCCCTGTGCATTGTTGTTGCCCGCGTGCAGGACCTTGCTCGGCCTTTCTGGAGAGTATTGAGCTTGCTGAGCCCGTCCCTTTGTTGTGCTCTTGGGCCGTGTCCAGTTTTTGTTGTTTATAGACGTTGCTGTCAGGGACATCTCTACACATTTCTTTGGGGGTTAGTTCTTTAAGGTAGAATTTGGGAATCAAAGAGCATAAGCAGTTGTGGACTCATCCCATTTTGCTGGATCAGGGAGCAGACATCCTACTGGATTTCCCCATTGTCCCCTATTTGATAGGTCCAGTGGCAGAATAGGCTCTGGAGCCACATAGGCTTGGGCTCAAATTTAATCCTTTTTTTTTTTTTTTTTTTCTGCATGACCTTGGGCAAATCACATAACATTTCTGAGCTTGAGGTTGGTTGTTCTCATATTAAATCCTAATAATGCTACAGACTTTGTAGGATTTTTGTAAGGATAATAGTGACACCACCCACATCCATTTATTGAGTGTTTACTGCAAGTTATTCATTTAATCCTGACGATTTCTCTGCAGAGTAGGCCTGCTCATCCACTTTTACTGTGTACAGAAGAGGGAACTGAGGCTGGGTGAAGTAGCTCACCAACGTTAATGCTGTAAGGACATTGTGTGCTCAATCCCAGGGTTGTCACGTCCAAAATGTTAAGGTCCTGTAGTGCAGATAGAATAAGATAATGAACATCCAGCTCTTGGCTCATGGTGTGGCTCAGCAGTTGCTGGGTCCCTGCCTTCTCTTCCCATGGGCTTTTATCAGTTTTGCCAGCTCACTCCCAGAGTAGGAGCGTCTAGCTCAGGATTGTTTCAGCAGTACTTCGTTGATAAGTCCCCGACTTTGCTTTGTGTACAGACCCTCTCAGTAGAAGGGACTTCTTAAATGACTCAGGGACGAGGAGCAGAACTGGCTCTGATCCCTGCCGCTAACTGGCTCCTTCTTCCCCAGGGACGAGGATGGCAAGACTGCCCGTAGCCATAAGCCCTCCTCACTGCTCCTGGGGCTAAAGCTGGGGCTGGTGGCCATGGGGCTGGCCCGACCCCAGGCCTGGTTGTTGGGCCTGCCTACAGCCGTGGTCTATGGCTCCCTGGCCCTCTTCATCTCCGTCTTGCACAACGTGTTCCTGCTCTACTACGTGGACACCTTTGTGTCAGTGTACAAGATCAACAAGGCAGCCTTCTGGGTCGGAGAGGTAGGGCCAGTGCTGGGTAGCCAGCCCAGGTGAGAGCCTAGAGGATGCATGGGCTGCTGGGCAGATCGCAGGTGCTGGGTCCTGCCTAGTTGGAGGCATGGGGCAGGCCAGGTTGTCCATGAGACTCAGCAAGAAAGGTAGAGGTGGAGGCCTGGGTGATTCCTCCTTACTGAGGATTAGACCAGCTATGAGCCCAGCATTGCTTTATGTAGTCACATATATGATATGAAATATTATATTCAGTTATTAATTTATCAGCTGGGCCCTGGGTGGGTTCAATGGGAGTAGTGGCTGGTAGAGTGGATTTCAGCAGAGGGACTGACATGAGCAGAAGTTTGCATGTGGGAAAGCAGGGGTTATCTTTGAGAGGTGGTGAGCAGGCCAGGGAGGAGGCTGCTTGGAGCCCACCTGCCGCCTCCCCTCTGCCTGCAGACGGTGTTTCTTCTCTGGAACAGCTTCAATGACCCACTCTTCGGCTGGCTCAGTGACCGCCAGTTCCTCAGCTCCCAGCCCCGGTTTGTGCCTGGGGGTCGCTTATCAGTTCTGTCCCACCCTACCCCCCCCTGCCGCTGGCTGGAGGACCCCTGCCCATGTTGGGAGTGGGGGGAGAAAGGAGTACCATTTTCAGCTATCTATGCCCCCTCTGCTCCTGGGGCCCAGGGCAGGCTCTGTCCAGTTGTAGAAATGGCCTTGACTAACCCTTGCCTTGCTCACCTGGGGGAAGAGATTTACCGCAGCTTGGCTTGTCTGGCCCCTCAGGACTGAGCTCTGTACCCTAAGCATCTTCTGCTGCTTCTGGCAGATCCTGTTAACCCCATCCCTGCTTGAGTCCCATCACTGCCCTCACCCGTGAGAAGTGGGTACCCTACCACCCTTTGACCATCAGCACTGGCAGGCTGTAGGGGAGGAGATTGGGGCAGAGGAGGGGTTGTACCCACTGGGAATTGTGCTTTCTAGTTTGGAGGCTAGGGTCTCGGGTTACAGTGGGGCAACCCTGATGTAAGTCCCACATCTGGGCCTCCATCCCTCCTCTGAGGCCTGGGAGGGAGGAACTGGGGCCTGCCAAGGCTGAAGGGCATCTCCCGACAGCCCTCCTCTCCCTGGCAGGTCAGGTGCTGGGCTGTCCTCTAGGGCTGTGGTGCTGGCACGGGTGCGGGCACTGGGCTGGCATGGGCCACTGCTGGCGCTGTCATTCCTGGCATTCTGGGTGCCCTGGGCCCCAGCTGGCCTGCAGTTCTTGCTCTGCCTGTGTCTCTATGATGGTTTCCTGACGCTCGTGGACCTGCACCATCATGCCTTGCTGGCTGACCTGGCCCTCTCAGCCCACGACCGCACCCACCTCAACTTCTACTGCTCCCTCTTCAGTGCTGCTGGCTCCCTCTCTGTCTTTGCCTCCTACGCCTTCTGGAACAAGGAGGACTTCTCCTCCTTCCGTGCCTTCTGTGTGGCACTGGCCGCTGGCTCTGGGCTGGGCTTTGTAGGGGCCACGCAGCTGCTGAGGAGGCGAGTTGAGGCTGCCGGCAGGGAGCCAGGGTGTCCAGTCCTGGCCGTGGATGGCGGGTGAGTGGCCAGCCCTGGTTCTGCAGGTTCCTGCCAGCACTCTTCTGAGTCTGACTTCTATGCTGGGTCCCCTGGCTGATGGTGGCTGCCCTAGAGCGGGGGAATGGCTGTGGCTCAGACCCAGGCAGCTCTCAACTCCCCTCTGCTCTATAGCCTGTGTGGAGAGGAACTGCTTGTGGGTGGTGAGGAAGCGGACAGTATCACCTTGGGCCAGTACCTCCATCAGCTGGCACGCCACCGGAACTTCCTGTGGTTCGTGGGCATGGACCTGGTGCAGGTATGCAAAACAGACCCTAGGATGGCTACGGTATGCCTCACTCAAGGGGGCAGGTTCCTGGGCACCAGCTGACAAGCCTGAACTCTAGGTCCAGTGAGGGAGAGAGAATGGCAACTGCCCAGAGCTGGGCAATCAGTTCTGGGTCTCTCGTGAGGACTACCAGATGGTTAAAAGACAGGAACACAGGGAAGGGCAGTTGGGAGACCTGGATTCTAGCACTGTCTGAGCTTCTAACTGCCTATGTGGTCTGAGGCAGGTCTCAGGCTGTCTGGGCAGCCTTGTCCTCACCTGTAAAGTGAGGATATACGAGTGATGCCTTGTTTGGGAACTCTATGACAACTTTTCTAAAAACCTATGTGGCACACCTAAAACACATGAGGTATTTAAGATATGCAAATTTAGAAAGATTGTTTTTATGTCACTAAATTATTTAAGTATTTTTAATTAAAAAGAAGAGAACTTAATTTCTTTAATTAGTATTTTGTCGTTCCTGTTAGCTTTTAGCAAAAGTAGACGAAAAAGCAGAGGTTTTGTTTTAGGTTTTGTTCTGGCATGTTCCATGTTTAGGAACGTGGGGATAAGGACCTGCTCTCCCTCTTGCTGCTCTGAGGGTCATGGGATGCATGTTCCCCTTTTTGCTTTTGACGCTGGTTCTGGGCTCCCCTCCCAGCCCCCCAGCAGCCCCCTCACTACCCCTGTTCGGTTGCAGGTCTTTCACTGCCACTTCAACAGCAACTTCTTCCCCCTCTTCCTGGAGCACCTGTTGTCAGACCACATCTCTCTGTCCACAGGCTCTTTCCTGTTGGGTGAGTGGGTGCCTTGGACAGGCAGGAAGGACAGAGGCTTATACCCCAGAGCCCCTAGCCCAGCTGCAGGCATGGCCACCTCACCAGTGGGGGCCCCAGGTGTCAGAGGGGAGGGATGACTGCTGGGGGAGGGGGTTGCACCTTCAGTCCCCAGCTCTGTTTTCTGGAGGAAGGGGTGGGAGCCCATTGCAAGGAGTGGGGGATGAGGCAGGTTGGCCTCTTGGTGATGGTGCCACCCAGAGGTGATGAGGTGCAGTGCTGGGGCTATCGTCTGATAGGCCTGGTCATGTCTGAACTGTGCTTATTCCCTGTGTGGCATTGGACATGTCATTTAATCTTTTTGGGCCTGTAGGTCTCATCTGTAAAGTAGGGATAATACTTACCTTAAAGGATTGTAGGATTAAATAAAAGAATGATTGGTAAACTCTTAGCACACAGCCTGGCATGTCCTTAGTGTCCAATACGTGCAAACTGTGATTCTGATTGTCGAAATGTTGATACGCTGTGGCGGTGTCCCCTGACGAGGCTGGGCCCCTTCCCCCCAGGCATTTCCTACGTTGCTCCCCATCTCAACAACCTCTACTTCCTGCCCCTGTGCCGGCGCTGGGGTGTCTACGCGGTGGTACGGGGGCTCTTCCTGCTCAAGCTGGGCCTTAGCCTACTCATGCTGTTGGCTGGCCCTGACTGCCCCAGCCTGCTCTGCCTCTTCATTGCCAGGTATGCCCCACCCTCTCTCACCCCCACACATCTGTCCCACCCCCTCACTCTTGCCCCTCTCTCTCTCTCTCCATCGCAGTAACCGTGTCTTCACTGAGGGCACCTGTAAGCTGCTGACCTTGGTGGTCACTGACCTAGTGGACGAGGACTTGGTGCTGAACCACCGCAAGCAGGCGGCCTCGGCACTCCTCTTTGGCATGGTTGCCCTGGTGACCAAACCAGGCCAGACCTTTGCCCCACTTCTAGGCACCTGGCTGCTCTGCTTCTACACAGGTGAGGCCTGGGGGCTGGCAGGGGGCTCTCAAGGCTCCAGGGGGACAATTTACCTTGAATACCAACTGACAAGCCTGAACTCTAGGTCCAGTGAGGGAGAGAGAATAGCAACTGCCCGACAGAGCCTGGGCCTGGGCTGCCCAGGGCTAACACCCCTCTTCTGTTCCTTCCCACATGGGTAGAGGGGATTGGGTCTCAGGTTCTTCCATTCTTTCAATTGTTCATTCATATAAAATACCTTCTCTGTGCCAGGTGCTGCTCTAGGTGCTAGGGAAATAATAAGACAAACAAGGTCTTTGCTATCATAGAGCTTATATATCTAGTTGAGGAAGAAGTTAGGGCTTGCAATACAAAACCAAACAAAAAAATGTCAGGTAGTGACAAGTGCTATGATAAAGAATAGACAGGAAGATGTGAGACACTATGACTGAGTGTGGTCAGGGAAGGCCTCTCCAAGGACGTGATGCTCAAGATGTCAACTGAGTGGCAGAGTTTGTCTCGGAAGGATCTCAGGGAACCCCAGACAGGGGGAACAGCAAGTGCAAAGGCCCAAGGTATCAGGAGTGGGAGATGAGTCTGGAAAAGTGAAGAAGAGAGCTTTGCAGATCAAAGCAGGGTTTAGATTTTCTTCTTGGTGTAAAGGACACTATTGGGAGAGTTTTAAGCAGGGGAGTGGCATAGTCTGGGTTACACTTATATATATATATTATATATATATATATAATTATTGTTGAGAATATACACAGTGCAACACACCAATTCAACAGTTTTTGCATGTGCCATTTAGTGACCTTGATTACATTCTTCAAGTTGTGTAACCATTCTCACCCTCCTTTTCTGAGTTGTTCCTGCCCCTTTAACATAAATTCATTGCCCCCTAAAGCTCCTATCTAATCTTTTGAGTTGGTGTTGTCAGTTTGGTCCCATATAGATCTTTAAAGAGCACAGTGTTCAAGGCAGATGTTTTTTTACTAGTTAAGCTAAACTATTGTTTGGTTTTAAGACAACTTCAGGGGATATTTTTGGTTTATGGTTTAAAGATTATCTCAGGGCAATAGTTTCAGGGGTTTATCCGACATTTATGGCTCCAGGAGTCTAGTTTACATTTTAACGCTCACTCTGGCTACTGTGTGGAGAATGGATCATATGGAAACCAGAGTGGGAACAGCAGGGAGATCATCACCAGGCTGTGGCAGAGGCAATGGAGGCTAGGGCTAGGGTGGTGCAGGGGAGCTGGAAAGAAGTTGGTGGGTTTGGGATGTTTTAGAGTTGGGGGAGGAGAAGGATTCGATGTTGTGGAATAATGAAGGAAATCAAGGAATCGAGGGCAACTTTGAGGTTTTTGGCCCAAGTTATTGGGTGGTTGGAGGTGCCTGCCATTCACTGAGAAGGAAAGAATAAGGGAGGAGCAGACTTAGAGGAGGAAATGAAGAGTTGTGGTTTAGACATGTGACACTGGAGATGTCCCACTGTGGACTTTGGAGGGGGCTGACCACATGCCTTCTGTGCTCTCTCATCCTAGGTCATGATCTCTTCCAGCAGGCCCCGCTAGCCCCTGTGGGGAGTGCCCAGCCCTGGCCAGAGCCCCCAGCCCCACCCCCGGCGCAGGCCCCAACACTCCGCCAGGGCTGCTTCTACTTGCTGGTGCTGGTGCCCATCACCTGTGCTCTGCTGCAGCTGTTCACCTGGTCCCGGTTTACACTGCATGGGAGATACTTGCACACGGTCAAAGCCCAGCGCCAGAACCTATCACAGGCCCAAACCCTGGACCTTAAGACAGTGTGAGAAGTGGGGCAAGGCCATCTGGGGAGGATACTGCCTGCGGCCCTGGGGAGGAGCCTCTTTTGCCAGCCTGGCCTCCTGCTTCTCCGCGTGCCTCAGATGCAGCCTGGATGATAGATGGCCGACTGGGAGCTCCTGGGACTGAGCCAGGAGTGTCACTGAGGTCTAAGTTCCTGCTTGGCTGACTGGCCCAGCTTGGGCAGGGCTGGGTGTATGTGTTCAGGGACCTGTTTCCCCCTTCAGGGGCAGGAGGAAAGAAGAGGACCAAGTAGGGATGGGGCTGCTTTGTGGTGCTCATGGGGTTACCGGGGGGTATGGAGGCCTGTCCCACTGCCTGGCTGAGACTGGCTGCCCTGTGGGCTCAGGAACCCCTTTTGATACTGCAACTGTTCCCTCTCGCCCAGTCAGGGGAAGCCGACTGCAAGTCCCTCCCTACCCATCTCCAGTAGTTTCTCAGAGGGTTCTCTGCTTCAGCTGTGCCCGAAGTAGCACAGCCCCTTCTGCTGCTGCAGGGTTCCCCCACCCTACCCTGCCTCTGAAGAGCTTCATTTCATAGACTGATTAAAGGCAGTCTTTTCTAGGCCTCAGGTCTGGGCTGTGTGTGTGTGTGTGGTGGGATGGTGGGGGTGTTGGGACACAGGGCTCCTCAATAGAAACACCCTGAGAGCATTTTTCCAAATCCAAGTGGTGGGCTACAGGCATTGCTCACTAAGACACCAGTGAGAAAATGCAGATTGGTAGCTGCATGGGGACTTGGGAGCAGAATGACTTTCAGGCCTGGGGCCAGTAGCCCCAGGACATTTCCCATGTGACACTGTTGGACGCCATAGTCACGGAAGGGGAGCTTCTAGGACAGAGCTTCTCAACCTTGGAATCACCTGGGAAGCTTTAATAGATACTGATGTGTGTTCTATTCCCAAAGATTTCTGATTTATTGGGTCTGGGGTATGGCCTGGACATCAGGATTTTTAAAAGCTCTGTAGGTGATTTTCCTGTGCAGCTGGGATGGAGAACCACTGCTCTAGGCCAGCGGTTCTCAGCTTCAGCACTAGAGACACTTGGGGCTGGATATATTTCTTTGTTGTAGATATTTATCAGTAGCAGAATCCCTGGCCTCTACTTGCTTAGCTGCCAGTAACCCCCATCCCAACCTCCGGTTGTGACAACCAAACATGTCTCCAGACATTGCCAAATGTGTCTTGAGGGGCAAAATTGATCCTTGTTGAGAACCACTCCTGTAGGCCAGTAGTTTTTTGAGGGTTTGCTTAGTGGCTATGACGGTAGGCTCCAGGGCTCTACAGCCTGGGTTCAAATCTTAGCTTATTAATAAAGGGCAGAGCCTTGGAAAATTGCCTCATCATTCTGTGGCTCTATCCACAGCTTCGAGGGTTATTGAATTAAATGGGTTAGCATTTGTAAAGTGCTTGGCCATTTTTCCCAAGTGTGTATTTAAAATGAACTGATTTTCCAAATGGGCCCTGGAAACTGCATTTTAATAAGCTCCCTAGATTCTCATACACTTCAAAGTTTTGAGAACCTCTGACTTCAGAGATGTCAGGAGCTGCCCCCATCATTCTGGGTGTAGTCTTACCCATGGGGGTGGGGATCCTCAGTTCCTGAACCTGGGCTTTGCGTGAACACTATTTTCCAGGCATCCACCTGACAGGCTCTGACTTGGACAATGGTGGCCAAGTCTGGCTGGTGCGACAGTGCCCTCTAGAGGCCAGACTAGGCACACTCCCAGCTTCAGCTTCAAGGACCGCAGCTCCTCCTGCTTCCCACACCCAGCACTGGCTACAGACAGAGGTCCAGCTGATGTGTCTATCGGAACGACTTTATTTAAGTACACTGGGCCCCACCAGGCAATGTGGTTTGTGCGAGGCTGTGCGAGGGACAGGCTTGGGCTAAGAGAAGGGAGGTGAGCTGGTTAAGCACACTGCAGTCCGCGGGTCGCCACATCGCTTTCACACACACCTGCCGCTGCGGCCCACATCTGGCAGGGGCCTTTGGTCATAGAATGGCATGGGGGAGAATACTGCCTGGAATTTGGAATTGGGTAGGTCTTGGTACTACAGGTGAGGGTGCCAGTGAAGGCATGCTAGCCCCAGCCTTGCACCATCTGGGCTGAAAGGCCTTTGGACCACTGCTAGGGGGGTAGTCCAGTCCAGGGGAGGCACCTGGCCCTGCTGGACCAGAGATGAGCCTGAGCCCATCACTCCTGGCACTCTGGTCTGGCACCCTTCCTCCTTCCCTCCCCAAACAGGTCCAAAGTCAAGAATAGCACAAGATCAGCCCAGAGGGGCTTTCCTGCCTCTACAACCTTGCCCCCCCTGGTCAGCTGGAGTGGAAAAGGCAACTTGGTTAATGCTGTTCTGACTGAGGCACTTTCTCTGGTCCTAAAGGGGCTAGATCTCCAACCCCTCTTTTACTAGGGGCCTCTGCCAAAGAAAGTGTTTCTACTTCCTGTTTCAGAAAATGTGACCAGCAGCCAGCCTGTTGATTCTAGGGCAGTGAACAAGTGGAAGAGGGAGAACGAAAGAGGCTGTGGGAGTGCCTTTGAAGGTAACCTCCAATCCCACACCAGCCCTGAGGCTTATGGGTACTGTCAGTTCACCGTTAGCAGGGACTGGTGGGGCCCTGGATGCTACGCTAAGCTTAGGTGCTGTAAACATTAGTGTGAACAGGGTGACTGGTGGGCTGGAAGTGATGAGCTCCATTCTCTGCAGTCCCCTTACTGAACAAACACTTTAATAAATAAAACTGAAGATGGCACTGGGACAAGGATGGATGAAAAGCAAGTAACAGGACCTGTAGCCAACAGGCTCCTTAAACTCTCCCAAGATCCCCTGGGTGAGGGGTAGGGGTTGCGCATCAACTCTGCGGCTGATCGGAAGTAGCACTACTCCTGCCCTCCACAAATGCCCAGTGTGGCCCTGGTCCCCAGGTGAACTTGAGGACATCTTGCCCTCTCCTTGGCGCCAGAATCTCTGTAACAGCTCCTGGAGCACTTTTCCAGCTTCCCAAACCCAAACTGCACCAAAAGCAGGCAGAACTCAACCCTGGCCCCAGCCAACCCTCAGTGCATGATCAAGAGGCATTGAGAGCAGAATGGTGAGCAAGGGGAGGCAGCAGCTGCCTGGGACAAGCTACCCTGGGGAGGCTGGGGGGAGGGGCTAGCCCAGCCTGGGACAGGCAGCAGCGAGGTCTGGTGGGGGGGATTGGGTTTACCTCCCTCTGTGTCTCCTTCCAGTAGTAAACATAGTCCCACACAGCCAGACAAAGGCCCAGCTGACAGGAGTGGGGCCCTCTGCCAGCACTCTTCCCTGTCAGGGCCAGTCAGTGGTCAACCCCAGGCCTCAGGCCATCGCCATCATGGGTAGTTCATAGTCCTTTCTGGGCCCCAGGATCCCTGGGCCACACGACACTCGCATATGTGCACACACTCGTACCCACACACCCACACACACACTCGCATACACAGGCAGTTCCTCGCAAACACTCCGACTCAAGAAAGCGAGTTTTAAAGTGGAGTTAACTTCAGAGAGAGGTGAAGATGATGTCCCAACATTAGAAGGTTTTCCTGTGGATGGACCGGGCACCATCTTCCTCATATTCCTTCTTGGAGACCCACATCTTCTTAAAGGTGTCCAGGGAGGCAAGGATAGAGCCCCTGGAGTGGAGGGAATCCAAAGGAACATGTGAGAGATAGTGGGTATCCCTGGAGCCAGCCAGTGCCCATGGGGCCACACCAGATCAGGCTCTTCTGGGAGAAAGGGATAGGGATGCTAAGGGGTAAGCGATGCCTTTGCTTCCTCTTCTGCTTTTATTTTCGAAAGGGCTACTCACCCAATCCATGTGGAATACAGTCTCTCCTGAGGTGCAGATATCTGCAAGGATGGTTGGAAGAAGGAATCTGAGACTTCCATCCCTGCCCCCGCCTCCCCTCTAATGCATGTCTTTACTCTCCATCCCACTGCCCAAGGCAGCAGATGCCTTTCCCACAACAGGCATGATTACTGTTGGGCCCTGTGGCCTCTCTTGGGGGTAGTGTGGCCAGCCTGACACTCATTTGGGGAAGCAGGTTTCCGGCAGCTCTACACATCTATAGTTCCCAGGGAAGCTGGGGCTATCTGAGGGCAAGATTCTGCCCTGCTGCAGGGAAGGAGGGTACAGACTCCATAGCAAAAACCTCCTTTCCTCAGGCCGGCCAATTCCCTTACTCCCTTCCGTAGTCACGAAGAGGCTAGATAGTGTTACAGGGGAGCCCCTGGGCAGGGGGCACAGAAGCAGCAGAAGTCAATCTCCTGTCATGTTTACAGTTTCTCAGAAAGACCACATGTGGCGTACTCAGCCTAGTACCCTGCCCCATTCAGGTATCAGAACTGCCCTCCTTTAGAGTAAAGAGGGAGAATGAGAATAGGTCCTCCCTCTGGCCAACCTAGGCCTCAGGGTCAGTGTGCACCCTGAGAAGCTGTTCCTAGGCGCCACACCACATGACACTCCAGATCCTTGGAGGCCCAGTTCCCCCCAGGCCAAGCCCCCCTCCTCCCCATCCCCCATGCTCCTACCCTGATCTTCACGTCTTTTGGAGCTAATTTCTTCACTTCACTCAGTAGCCTGTCACCAAAACCTGAATGGGCAGAAAAGGAGAATCTCAAGTCAATTCTGAGTGTCTGGACCCAGCAGGGTCTGGAAGCTTCCTGGGGAAGGGCCCAAGGGCAAAGATCAACCTTTGAACAGGGTGGAGCCTCCTGAAAGGACGATGTTGGAGAAAAGTGTACGCCGCAGGTCCATGTCTGACTTCTGGATAGCAAACACCAGGACCTCATGGATGCCTTCGCTCTCCTCACCAATCAGGTCTGGCCTGAACAGCAGCTCAGGTGCCCGGAATCGCGAAGGACCAATCTGCAGGGTGGAGGGCCAGCTTCAGAGGATGGGGCTGGGGCCGAGGTCCCTTTAGGGGGTGGGAAATGGAAAAGGCCCCTCTGCCCATCTCCAGGGAGCTATGAAGGCTAGGCTCAGGCAAGATCCTGTATGTCAAGGGCCTTGAGAAACAAAGAGTAAATAAAGGGCCTCTGAGGAAACATTTAATCCTAGCTCTGGCATTTTCCAGCTAAGAGACCTTTGGCATTAATACAAGAATTCATTCATTCATGGGGATTTCTTCTTATCACTGGAGTTTCAGGAAGAGGCAGCTCAGTCTGAAGTCCACCCTGTGTGGTTCTCAGAGAGGTCAAAGACAGCACTAACCATCCCACTTCCTGATCTCATCCCGACCTAGGAAAATACTACAGGAGGGAGAAAAGTCCCTGTTGCCTACTCTGCAGGAGACACTGCTGCTTTAGAGCTACGCTGCTCCAGGCAGACCACTTAAAAGGTTTGGTCCATCTGACCCCACTCTCCTTGTGGGTAGTTCCGTTTGAGCCCAGAGCTTGTGTGGGCCTGAGGGAACTGAGAGCAGAGGTCTGGTCGCCTACCTCAATGGTGCTGCCATCGGGCAGGTAGTACTGAGCCTTCTCCGTCTCCAGCGTCTCATCCTTCTGGGGGTTTATGGATAGGTAGCAGGCTCTCTGCAGAACCAAGCATGACAGTCAGGCTGGCAGGGAACTCAGCGCACACTCGGTCAAAGTCCGGGGAAGTGATGTGCTGCCACAGAAAGCTGCCCTTCTGCGCTGACTGTGCTCAAGGTCCTAAGAGCTGCCGCCCAGAAGCAGGGGCAGGGAGGCCTCTGAAGGCCTTCCCTGTGTGGCGTGTGGGATATGCATTCTTAGCTGTTCTACCTTCCTAGTGGGAAAGTTTGGGAACTTAGCTCTCTAAATCTGGAATTTGAGACCACAGCCCAGCTTTAGCCCAGGTCCAGGCATCTTTCTCCTACCATTCATAAAGACTATGGCTTTAAGTCCCTCCTATCCAGCTCAAAGGTTTCCCTATAGCTTTAGGGGGTAGTTCAGTTTATTTAAAAAGAAAAATGTAGTATGACCTCTTTGAGGATGTAAAAGAACATATGTAACTTATGCATAAGGTATAAAAATCATAATGAACACCTCTGTACTCATCACCCACCCAGCTTAAGAAATAGACGCAGCTCCCTTTCCCCCCACCAGATGGCAGCACGTCAGGAAGGTGAATCTGTCCGTGTGAGGTCACCAGCTGGATCACACAGCTGCCCAGGGGCCTGGCTGGGGAGAAGGGAGCCTGACACCGGGGATAGGAGCTTCACCTCCCTTCACTCCCAGGTCACAAGGCCTGGCTGCCCTGCTCCCATTCTTCACCCTATTTGAAGCCCACGGGGCAGCACTCACTTCTTTTATGGCCTTGACAATCTCAAACTCGGAGGATGAGTGGAAGTCATAGCCCTCTTTGCGCAAGTAGAGGCGAAGGAAGCGGGAGACGTCACGGCCAGCGATGTCGATGCGCATGATAGAGTGGGGCATGGCAAAGCCCTCGTAGATGGGCACAGCATGAGTGACACCATCCCCGGAATCCAGCACCACACCTGTGGTCCTGCCTGTGGCATAACTGAAGCAAAGGGGATAAACCATCACTAACCTTTGCCTCCTCACCCTGAAAATAAACACTTCTTTTTTGAGTTTGATGGCAGCTAAAACCAAAGCTTGGGCCTGCTTTCTTCAGGGGTCACCTTAGACTGGGCTGAGTA